CTTAAATAAGAAAAATTTGAGTCCTTAGGCAGGAAAGGAATCTTCGTCCCTCAGGGCAGCATTTTTTTCTTTAATAAAGTTTTTTCGAATATTCAGGCCAGTAAGCGAAAATAAATAAATATATTGTTTAATAAATAAACGGAGCGTCTACTCAAATATGAGCATCCACTAAAAATAACGTTTAAAGTGATACCTATATATATATATATATATATATATATATATATATATATATATATATATATGCTTTAATTATAGTTTTAATTTTAAGCTAATAGATTAAATTTAATATTTCCAATATCTCAGAGCGAATTTAAATTGATTGGAATGATTTGTGTTTTTTAATAAAAATGTCTGAATTTCGCCATATTTTCAAATCTGTCAGCACGACGTAATTTTCTTTATTTAAAAAAATCTTTCAAAAAAAAAAATTTTCGGAAACTTTACTTGAGGAATATTACCTGATTTAAAATTTAATTAAACCGATTTGAAACAAATACTACTTACATCAAGTTTAAAATATCGCAGAAATGGATTTGTTTTACATGAAAGTCGGTATATTTATAAGGTGCGATCATGACTCTCCACATTTTCCTCTCCTCTGTAGGTCTTAGTAAATTTTGTCTTTTGCTATTTCCCTAAAATATGTTATACCAAACTTTTACACAATCTCCTCCTTCTTTCTTCTTCTACTTCGTGCCGTGTCCCTTCAGGACGTAGGGCGATCATGGCTCTCCACAACTGCCTGTCGTTTGTGCCGCTTTTGTCTTTTCGCTGTCTCTCGTAATTCATTCACTCAAGTTCGTTAGGTTACGCGCTGCTTTCATCGAGACTTTTTCCTTCAGTATCTCCTGTGAGTGTCAAATTCCCCAAGTCCCCTTTCCTCATTATGTGCCCTTGTAATTGCAACTGTCACTTTCTTATATTAAGTATAAGTGTCTTTTTTTGTTTCCATTTTCTCCAAAACTTTGTTTTTCCTCACATGTTCAATCCATGGTATTCTCAGCATCCTTCTGTAGAACTGCATTTCTATTACTTCAAGTCTCTCCTTCATCTGTAAGGAGATTGTTTAGCATTCACTGCCATACAGGAGGACTGCTAGGATTATTAAATATGGGGTAAACTCTGCTGATGACGTAGATGTTTATAGTTGGTAATAAGATTGAACCTGAATAAAATATTAATGTTCTTAAACAAATATTCCAACAAGTAAGATTTAAGATAAACCATTCCAAAACAAAGATAATAGTCTAGACATAGAATGAGTGTAAGAATGGCACATAGTCTGAATGCCTCTCGCCAAAAAAAAAAAAATTCAAGGTGTGTTATTAATAAATACTAAACACCTCAAATACCTTAGTGTATGGATCAGTTATAAGTAAGTTAGTATAGGTGAAAAAGAAATCATACACAGGATGGGTAGCGTTGAGGTTTTATTTTTTTAATCATTTCACCCCAAACAAAGTCATAAAGCGACTAAGCCGCATGGATTTACTGAGTATAAAAGAATATGAGAAAAAGAGAAAGAAAAGCACTATTAAGAAGAGAGGACAATAAAAGAACTGGAATTAAGAAGACAAAAGATAACGCTTGACATTGCATTTAAATTTTTTTCACGATCGGAGTTGACTGGGAAGCAAGAAGCTGGAAGAGAGTTCCACAAGCGTGAAGTGCGAGAAAACAAACTGTTAGCATAGAACTTACGGAAATACTTTTGTCTAACACTCTAAGATGATTCTTTTTATGTGCCGTGTCCCTTCCGGACGTAGGCGATCATGGCTCTCCATTTCCCCCTATCCTTTGTAGCTCTCAATAAGTTTTGTCTCTTTGTTACTTCCCCCAAGCCATGTTTTGTCATTCACTTGCTTAAGTAGGTATGTCATGCATTACTTTCCCTTGTCTCACTTTCCCTTTGTCTCTCTTTCCCTCTATTCAACCTGTGAGTATCAGAATCTCCAAGCCCTCCTTTCTCATTACGTGTCCCAGAAATTTCAGCTACCTCTTCCTGATATTAAGTATAAGCTTCCTCTGGGATACTATTAACTATCCAAAAGAATTCTTGTAGTCAAGCTGAAAGGAAAACCTTTCAACACATTTGTCATAATAGTGTATGCACCGACAGCGCAAAGTAAGGAAGAGGAAATCGAATCTTTCTAGTTCATGCTAGACAATGTCAAGGCTCTTTGCAAATCACAAGAAGTCATATATTACTCTGAAAACTCGGGTCAGGTTCTTAAATAGCTTCGTCAGATCGAGGCTTTCATATGGATGCCATACACGACGTCTAACTTCTTAAGAAATATCCAGACTATCTCTTATACCCAAACGTTTTCTCAGATCAATAATTACAAATGGCTTCAAGCGAATGAATCCTTTAAGTGTTATAGAATCCTTCAACAGATCCTATACACTGGCACTGCAGAATCGCAAAAAAAAGAACCGTAGCACTTTACAAAAGCATATCCCTTGAAGACTTCAAACAGCAATAAGAACTAAAATGGATAGTATATATGTTATGGGACCTTACCCATAATAATAATAATGGACTATTCCATACTTAATAAATACTGCGCCTCAGGAGTAGGCAAGGAGTCAGTCAGTAATTCGGAGTCAGTCAGTAGTTCAAGTCGAGTCAAGAGTCGAGTCAGAGGCAGTCCGAAACAGAGTCGCGTTCAGACAATTACAACAAGACATTGGAATAGTGATACTGGTCGAGACTATATTGTTCTCTCTACTAAACCTGATTGTTCATACTAACACTTCTACTTCTCTGTATATATTCCTGTTTGTAATATATCTGTGTTATTCCATACTGGTGTTCGAGTTCTTCTTTATTGGTTCTACCTTGGACTATCACCGTGGTACAAGGAATCGGACCATAACAATATATGACTAGAAAGGAAAATAATGACATACAAGATCACCATTATCAAAAACTTCTGGTGTTTGTTAAGTCTCTGAAAACGGTTAGTGCTAGCCGAAAATACTAAACACTGAGAGTTTTATTTACCAATACCAACGGGAGATCCAAAATTATTAGAAGTGATGAAAAAATAAATAAAAAGATAGACAACATTGAACTTTTTATTTACATTATTCGGACTGTCACCCTCACCTTCATTGCCATATTCACAACGTTTCGGACGTTGTACGCTCCGGCATTCTTCAGATGATTGGAATTTCAGACCGAACCCTTTATTTCGTCCACCGGGGGTAGATTGTTTTAGTTCCACGTGCCATGCCTCTTCTGGATGTCTCAGTTATTTTCCTTTAACTTAACTCTCCAGATTTTGGTTCCCCACTGCTGTAGCCTGTGGCGAACCAAAACTGAACCGTTGTATTGCCACACCCCGCTCAACGGCATCGACATGCCGGTTAGGGTAGTCGAAAAGGGTTTCTCAACCAGACCGGTGAAGGGGAACGCCCCTCCTCCAATCCACCTGTGCCAAGCGGCCATATGCCAGTCACCAGCCTGGACGTAGGAGCTGTTGTCAACGGTTTTACCAGTGGGCGGAGGAACTTCTGAAAGGAGGGACTGGGTAACCTCAACACCGCCGGTGCAAAAGGAACCAGCAAGCCATTGCACTATTTTACCTTGAATTTCACCATGGGCCACAATTAGAAGGGGTGGAGTGGTGTCACAGTGGTACATATTGCGCTGGATACATGAATGAATGAAGGTCCGCATTAATAACTAAATGACAGAATAAACAAACGTAAGGTAAGAGATTTTAACAATACATCAAAGGCAATATTAAAACGGAGCACTATTTTTCTATAGTGGGATTTCTTATTTTAGACTGCTTATTATTTGTTGTAACCTAGAAATGGTTACTGAATGAGGAATAACCAAAATGGAGATTGGAAAATAAAATGGTAATCTTTATAACATCAACAAAATAGAAAACTCGCCAGCAGCGTGTGTAGTAGGTAAACCACTGTTAGTGATTGACTACTTAGATAGCATATTACCCCCACTTACAATAGTGTCCAACGTATTTATAAAGATTGGGACATACTCATTAGTGTTCATAGATACGGTATATAACGCTATCTCAGTATGTGCACATCTATCTCGTTCTGTTTCTATCTATTTATCTATATCAGTTTGTTCATATCTATCTATGATAATCAATGTTTTTCAAAAATGTATTACTGTTAAATTTTTTTCACAAAAATGTACTACTGTTAATATTTTTTCAAAAAATATATTACTGTCGATATTTTTTCAAAAATGTATTACTGATAATATTTTTTCAAAAAATGTATTACTGTTAATATTTTTTTTTTAAATGTATTGCTGGTAATAATTTTTTCTTCAAAAATCTATTTCTGGTAATTTTTTTTCCCCCAAAAAAACGTATTTGCTGGTATTAAAACCTATTTTTACACTTTCATAGTGTTTTGACCCCAATTTTGGGGGTTAACTATTCGCCCATAGCTTGGACCCTAACAGGTGCTGCCACCCCGGGTCAGGTTGGGCTTGGAAACACCAGCAATTAAGAGGTGGTTCCATACTCCTAAAAAAACCCTGAACAGAGGCCTTGCTGTTGGATGTAGTTTATCGTCTTACCCAGAACGCGGATGTTATTTTTCGTCATACCCAGGACAGAAACTCAGTGCTGAACAAGAAACAAGTGATAAATTTCTACTCCTGTTCAAAAGACCCGGGAAAAGTGCAAACTGCCCGAAAGGTGAACCTATCTAGTTCTGGTTAATAGACTCTCTCAAGAAATTTAATTTTAATAATGTTTTATGCTTATTTGTTTTAGTGCAAAATCTATTAAAAATGTCATTATTTGTCATATAAAGTTAATTTTATATTTTTAAAAAACATATTATTATTCATAATAGAAAAGATATATATGATTGAATTAAAATTTTTCTGAGAAATTTGAGTTTTTCCTTCTAAAATGTATTTTTAAGTTGTAGCTTGTTGCGCATACGGCTTCTGATTGGACTAAAATCGGCGGCAAACAAAATTTACACGTGTAATTGACGGGGTTCGTAGTTAATAGAGGTGCAAGGAACTGAAATGAATTACAAAATGGCGATATTTTCATGTTTTAAGGATAAATAAAAAAGACATTAAATCTATCAGCTAGAAATTGTGTGTGTGTGTGTGTGTGTGTGTGTGTGTGTGTGTGTGTGTGTGTCTGACTGAGAGAAAAGAAAGAGAGAGAAAAAGAGTTCGTTCACCGAAGGAAGAGTTCTGTGAGGGGGTCACTACTACGACACGCTGAAAGAAAAAGAGAAAAGAACAGGAAGTGTCCAGTCTTTATAGTTTGTACTAAACACTGCAACCAGAAATATTTTTTTTATATTACTATAAACACTCCAGATCATAAATATAAAAATTAAATATTATAACAGATAATAGTGAGGAGGGGGTCCAGTTTGGGATGTAAATTGATCCTCCCTACGGAAACCAAAATAAAATATGTTCATACGACCTGATTTCTTAAAATGAAAAATAAAAAATAAATAATTTGAATTCCGTAATCAGGAATGCTTAATTGATAGTAATATATAAAAAAAAAAAAACTGCAGATTATAAACTTAAATTATTTCTTTTTTTTTTTATAATATTTTGATTTTGGTTCGTTTTACGACATGTCAATCTCAATGGGTTATTTAATGCCGACAATTTTTATTTCTGGTAATATTTTTTTTTCTTCAAAAATCTATTGCTGGTAATATTTTTTTCAAAAAATATATAACTAGTAATGTTTTTTGTTTAAAAAAAATGTATTGCTTATAATATTTTTGTGATTTATGATGATATATATATTGTTAAATATAATAGAAAACGAATATCTATTATGCTTTATCAGGAGCCGTTTCAAGTTTCGTATATTGGTTTTAATTTCAGGAGAGAATAAAGACAAAATATGTGCAACGTTAGGATATTTCTTTATTGCGTTGTTCAACAATCTAAGCTTTCGGCTCAAATGAGCTATCATCAGAGTGGTTATTTGGACTGTACAAATCGATACAACGAAGTATACAAAGCTTGGAACGGCTCCTGATAAAACATACTAGACATTCGATGTATGATATATTTAACAATACATGTCTGAATAATGACTTGCTGCACCTATGCACTATATATATATATATATATATATATATATATATATATATATATATATATATATATATAGGGCAATAATATATACGCCCCGAAAAAATAAAATTCGGTCAAGCACCTTAAAGGAAAAGCGCAAATTTGTAAACAGCGACTGCTACTGCTGATAATGCAAAATCTCTTATATGAATCAAAAATAAACACGTAAAATTTCACCATCCTCTCTGCCGGCAGCTGTTAGCTTAGAGGAAAAAATCTCTGAGTGATGCTAAATCAGTCCGGTTTCGATCCTAGCTTGAGGCAATCGGATGTCTAGCCACACTGATAAGCTGTCATATAGATAAACGGTCTATCCGTGGATGTGAATATATATATATATATAGTTGACTCTCCCGTCGAGATTCGACGTATGAGGGTCAAGCAGATCAGTTTCCAGGAAACCGACAGCCCGACACCGGCACATGAAATTTGATTATAGTGGTGAAGGTTTCGTGCAGGACAATCCACACTTTTTGAAGGGACGAATACAGAGACCTGTGCCACAAGGTTCCCAAACAACCCTCCGCAGGTTTTGAATTCAAAGTTGTCCTTCTTCTAGACCAGTTGCCATCCAAGGCTATAGAATCCAGTCTGTCCTGCTATTTTTACCCCATAGCTGGAGGGAGAGGAAGGATTCAGACCTTTCCCAAAGGTATTAGCACGTAAGTGAATGTAATGGATTCGACTGAATTCGAATTCGGCTCTGCGATTCCTCAATCAAGCCGCTATCCATTACTCCACCGTGTTTCATATATATATATATATATATATATATATATATATATATATATATATATGTGTGTATATATATATATATGTGTGTGTGTGTGTGTGTGTGTAGAATAAACACATCAGTGATTCAGACTGATCGATTCATAGAAGATCTTTTGTATTATCAGCAGTAGCAGTCACTGTTTACAAATTCGCATTTTCCCCTAAAGTCCTCGGCCGAATTATTTTTTCGGGGGTGTATATACTGCTGCCCCTATACACTATATATATATATATATATATATATATATATATATATATATATATATATATATATATATATATATGTATATATATATATATAATATATATATATATTTCAAATCCTATAACACCAAACGGTTCTGATACAGATACAGATAAACATGCACAGAGACAGGCTCTCTTCAAGTCTCAAGTCAGGAAGTGATAAGCTAGGGTAATTAATTTGATTTATGATATCCCAAGACATTTTCCTAACACATAGTTTTGTCTTTCTTTTGGTCAAACTTATGATGCCAAAGAGAACATAAGCTTGCTCCGGTGAAACGCGTTTTTTGTTCCAGATACGTCTATGCATCGTACAATCTCACTTACAATTATTTAGCCACAAGAACAGATCTCGATGAAACGAGACAAATGTCCATTCGATTAGGATCAAGAAAAGGCAAGTATTGAACCAATAACAAGACTAACAACAACAAATATTCGATAAGGATCCAGCATCCGGTCTTATCTCGAAACCCGCCGGAAAAAAATCCCTTTTATCCGGAGAAATTATAGATAAGCAGAAACCGAAACGCCCCCCCGCCCTCAAGTACAGATATGGCCGCCTCAAAACCCTTACTAAACTATTGATTTGTTTTTCTTATTTTTTTCTTATTTTATTATTATTATTATTATTTATACCACAACATGTTTTACATGCTTTTAGCTTCACCTGCCAGGAATATATTTTAAGCGACTTTTATTATATATCAACCATAAAAAAATTAAAAACAAACAAAAAAACTATTCGAATTTCTAAGCTTTTTGCGAACAAGTTTGTACATTGTAGGGGCGTCTCTCGTCTCTTTTGCCTCGCAATTTTATCGCTGAGGGCCATCAAAAACGTTTCCGCCCCGACCTCACCACCAGCATCCATTACCTTGACTTCTCGACCTGGCCTTGATAAAGTGTGAGCAAGATTCTTGATTGATAAATTCCGTCAAGAATCCTGAAATGCCACTCAGCGGGATCAACGAAATTCTTCGAGGTATTCAGCTCTTAAGATCTCTGGAAATAAAGCATTTGAACTTCATTACTCGCTATCTGGAGGTTTTGTGGAATATCTGTCCGCTCGAGGAGATAAATGAAAATAATAATGGCGCCTTTGACAAATAAATTGATGTAAGAGAGTATCAAATAAACCACAATCGAACAGGCGAAGATAGATATAAATAGACTGAGATAGATAGATAGATAGATAGATAGATAGATAGATACTGAAAATACTCAGATAGATAGATACTGAAAATACTCAGATAGATAGATAGATAGATAGATAGATATTGAACATACTCAGATAGATAGATAGATAGATAGATAGATAGATAGATAGATAGATAGATAGAGACAAAGAGAGAGAGAGAGGAGACATTGGTACAGTCTGGCAGAATATAAAGAGAGAGGGAGGGGATATATATGTATAGACTGAGAGAACTATGTACAGACTGAGATAGATAGATAGATAGATAGATAGATAGATAGATAGATAGATAGATAGATAGATAGATAGAATTCAAACTGGACTCATTTAACCTATGCAGTAAAGCGATTCTGAGAAAATTAGTAGTTATCCCAGGATTCATTATTGTTGGTCACAATCATAACGTAAAAAAACGGAAAGCGGGAAGAAAGGACTAAGCATCAATTGCAAGAGGATAAAACTTATGGTTGTTAGCAAAATGTACAGTCCAACATACATAGTGGAGATATCAAAATCGAGCAATCACAGCATTTTAAATATTTGGGAAGTGTTTTAACAGAGGACAGAAAGTGCGACACTGAAATCCGAAGGTGCATTGGGATAGCGAAAGATGCCTTCAAAAAGCTAAGCAATGTATTAAGAAACAGGTAAATTTAAATAACTGGGAAGTGTTCAAACAGAAGACAGAAAGAGCGACACTGATCCGAAGACGTATTGGGATGGCCAAAGATGCCTTCCAAAAGCTAAGCAAAGTATTAAGAAACAAAATAAATTCGTTAAAAACAAAGAAAACAGTACTGAACGCAATATCAGGCAGCCTATATAGCAGTGAATGCTGGGCAATCTCCTCACAGATGAAGAGGAAACACAAGGCAGAAGTAGTATTGTTCTACAGAAGGATATTGAGAATACCATGGACCATAATCAATAGAACTGTCAACACCTAATCAAAACACCTCCCACTGTGTTAAAAATGCACTTCTGTTATATTTTAATCATTCCTAATAATTTCAAACATTTCGAAACTGTTGTGTGATCAACTTCTAATGATTCTGCAAGTTCAGTATGCGCCTGACATGAGTCTACATGAAGTAATGCCTCCAAATCTTCGTCTTCAAACTTTTTCGATGCGCCAGGGCCTTCTTTATCTTCAACATCAAAAATCATTATTTTTAAAGCGTCTAAACCAATCTCTGCATGTTGTTTCCGACAGAGCATGGTCGCCGTAAGTCTCAACAAGAATTATGGGCGCTTCAGCTGCAGATTTCTTTTGAATAAAGTAGTGCAGTAAAATTTACCCGCAAATACACTTTCTTTGGCACGAAATCCGACATGTTTAACGCTATGAAAAACAAAGTTGTTTACACTTAGGCGAAATGACATACACTGAATTTCAAGCCTACTTAGAGCACTCCTTTATAGATGCGTTACCATATGAAACTACACGCACGCAGTTCTGGGGACGCCGTCTGTTGGAAAACAGCGAGAACTTATTCAAAGTCCTAATATATATATATATATATATATATATATATCTTACATATGGACAAACAAATAAACACTACAAAGATGCATATTTGTTTCGATGCCTAAGGGTAAGCATCTCATCATGCTTACCTTAAGACATCGCAAGAAATATGCATCTTTTTAGTGTTTATTTGTCCGTATGTAACAACTTATAATAAATAACTATTACTCTTCTCTTGGTATTGAGCCCTCTTTTAAATTAATGTTTTGTACTTTGAATTTATATTCTTTTCGTTCTCATTACATTTCGATATATATATATATGACATATATATATATATGACAGGATACCGAAGATCCTAATGTACAGCCAGTTATATCAGGGCTACAGGAATGTAGGACGCCCATGGCTAAGATACAAAGACAAGCTGAAAAGCAACTTGTCAGCAGTTAATATACCACATAACGCCCTTGAGTGCTTAGCCTTGGAGCGGGTAGAATGGAGATCAACGTGTTTTAGTGGACTCAGCAATTTTCAATCTGCTTGTCTGAATCATCTTCAAGAAGCAAGAGCAAGATCTAAAAGATCAGCCACTCTAACAGTGATGTCATCTCACAATCCTCACTCTTGCTCCATATGTGGCCTCCTTTGTAAATCACTAACGGGTCTTAAATGCCACTTAAGAATATCGCACAAAATTTCATAACTGAATCAATAAGCTGTCAGACCCTCATACATCGAAACCGACGGGGGAGTCCATTATATATATATATATATATATATATATAAAGTGAATAATATTTGTTTCGAATCAGATAAATTAAACTTGAAATTAGTTATTACTCCTCAAATAAATGTTCAGAAAAATATATTCTTTTAAATATTTTTTAATAAAGCGAATTACATTGCGCTGACAGAGTGTTAAAACAGTAAATTTAAAGTACCTTTTTTAATATTGCATTTTTTTTAAGAGAGAGGATATAATTTGTAGGAAAGGTGTTTGTTTGTTTGTTTTTTTGTTGTTTTTATAAATCATTTCACCACAAGCAAGGCAATAAAGTCACTAAGACGCAATGTGTTCTTGAATGTGAAATATTACGAGAAAAACATTGTTAAAAGGAGAGAGAGAGAGAACAATAAAAGAACAGGAATGAAGAAGACAGTAGATAAACATTAATATTGCATTTAAATTTTTGAAGATCAGAGCCGACTGAAAAACAAGTTCCCCATGCGAGAAGTGCGAGAGAAGAAACTGTTAGCATAGAACTTGCGGTTACATCTATCCAATTTCAACTGTAATAGGTTTCGAATCCTAACGTGTCTTTTCTATCTATCATAGTAGACAGAGTGAACCAAACTCGAAGTGATTGATGTGAGAAAATCATTTTATTAAATAATTTCTTCTTTTTAAGGAAAAAAGAAAAAACACACAACAAACAAAACATTCACAGAAAGGCATGATTATTATGTAGGAATCAATCCGCCATCTTTCAAAGGCATATTGCTCAGCTCTATGCAACACAAGTAGAGATTGGAAACGATTGAGTAAACTGATGTATTCTCGAGACCGACCGAAATTGTTCCGTGTCCTGGGTAAGACGATAAACTATGTCCGACAGCAAGACCTCCGACCAGGAGGCTTTGAGGAGCGTGGAAGCACCTCTTAACTGCTGGTGTTTCCAGATGTACCCTGACCCGGCTACATATTTTGGAAAAGAAATACATATATATATATATATATATATTACCAGCTATACATTAAAAAATATTACCAGCCATACATTTTTGAAAAAAAAAAATATTAACAGCTATACATCTTTGAAAAAAAAAAAATTAGATATTAACCTGCAATACATTTTTGAAAAAAAAAATATTACCAGCTATAAATTTTTGAAAGAAATAATATTTATATGTATATATATATATATATATATATATAACCAACAATACACATTTGGGGAAAAAAAAATATGACCAGATATATATGTTTTTGAAAAAAAAATATTACCAGCTATATATTTTTGGGGAAAAAAATATTACCAGCAATAAAAATTTTGTCGGCATTTAGGTCGAAATCCAAACCGAAAATGTTCCTCTCCGAATAAAACTGTCTAACTTCGTATGAAATCCCAGCATTTGGTAAGACCAGCGTTCCACTAGGAAAAGGTGGTTGTTTCGCCGTTTATAATGAATAGTTAAAACCTTCCAGGACGTATTTACTGAGTGTGAATTAACGTGATAGTGTAAATTGCTCTAATAACAGGGGTATTAACCTCTAAACACAGGCTACGCACCCCCGTAATTACAGTAGACTAAAATGAAGGTTGTTAGAAAAAAAAATGTTTGAACTCCGGAATGCGATGTTTTATCACACTCTGGTTGTAAGCCTCTTTGCTATATAATTCCGGCACAAATTTTCAGAAATAGCCTTTTCTTTCTTCTTATTGCTTTTTTTTTATCCCAACTTTCATGATTGAATACTCTCGGGCTGCAAAAAAAAAAAAGAAATGTAGCATGAAATATGACTTACACTGGTCAACAAAAAAAAATAAAAATTTAAAATGGCGTAGAGACACCAAATATCTATTTATTTAATTAAAGGGCGTTAAATCTGAAAATGACCTTACTTTTTCTTGGTTAGCTACCGTTTTTACTGTACAAAAATGCTTTATTTTGGGGGAAAATCATTTGTTTACTGTATATATATATGATATTGAGCGATGGCAATATTTCTCAAAATTAAATCGTAGAAACCTTTTTGCACCAACTTTTACATTACACTGGTCAAAAAAAAAAAAAATTGAAATGGCGTCGAGGCACCAAACATCTTTTTATAGCTAATTTGAGGACGCTGAATCTGAAAATGACCCTACGTTTTTTTGGTTACCTACCGTTTTTTCTTTTGTTTTCTGTATATATGATATTGACCAATAGCAATATTTCTCAAAATAAAATCATAAAAACCTCTCTATTCGTATTTAAACGAACAAATATTGGTATGCTTATTGAGAAATACTATTTTTGCAATACCAATCAGACCTTAAGTCGTTAAAAATAACACGATTGTATATACCAAGACTAAAAAGTATTTTCATCAAAACATTTAACAATATAACAGCAGAAATAAAAGATTCGTGAACATAAGAACTATTTCATCCTCAAGCGAATTTTGGGGTAACTTTTAAAATTACTGGGTTTTAAAGACACAGCTAAAATCATAATTCATATTTCCAGGGATACAGATGAAATGGAACTAATGTCTTTAATTTAATTACAAAATTAAATTCGGAGCTTTCAGCTTTCATTTTTTAAACATGGTTAGAACTGTGTAGCGAAAAAAAAAACATATTTTAAATCAATTAATTTATAATATTAATGCTCTGTAAATTTACATTCAGCACTATTTTGTAAAAATAAAAATATCTATAAGAACACCGGATTATATATCTTACTGTTCTTTCTTATATATTTATATATATATATATATATATATATATATATATATATATATATATATATAATATGCTTGGATGAGTTTCACCACCAGAATTAGAAGTTAATGCGCTTGTATTGAATCTCGTTAGTGTCACCATAATCAACGAGCCATGATAGTCCAGTGGTATGATGTTTTGCGGTGTATCGTAGCAGTCTGTGTTCTCTTCTTGGTAGTGGACGCACTGTTGATGAAGATACTACGATGGTGTTTAAGTGTAAGGCAGACTCTCGCCGCTGTGTTGACCGCATTCTTTATATATATATATATATATATATATATATATATATATATATACTTGGGGGTGGGTAACGACATATAAACTTTTATATATCAAAGACTATTTTATGAATGTCTGAAAAATTTCCGTTTTAAAATGTTGAAAATTTTAAAAATTTATACCCAAATACATAAAAAAAAAAAAAAAAGATTAAATTTAAAATTCAACAACCCTCTCGTTTCTATGTATGTGTAATCACTTCAACGTAAACATCATTTTGTTTGATGATGGCCTCAAGGACGAAACGCGTCAGCCTAAAAACGTCTTTCATTTTATCATAGATTTTCCTAATATATATATATATATATATTCTTTCATCTGATGAATATACATGTACGTTTGCTTTGATAAAGTCCCCAGAGGACGGAACGCGTCGACTAAGAATAGTTTTTTCATCTTGTCTTTTTATTCATATATATATATATATATATATATATATATATATATATATATATATATATATATATATATGTATGTATGTATGTATGGAAATTTAGTGAATATTTCAAAAGTCGTCTTGTGTCTGACTGATCTTAAGAAATGACCTAGATTGCTACTTTGCTGTCTTTTCGTTCATTTTGCTTGTTTGTTGTCTGTTTCTTCCAATTACTTTTTCTTCTTTTCTGCTGACGTCAACTGTCTTGCTTTCTTTCCTTTCTTCGTGTTTAACAATAGGCTTTTCTCCTCAAAATTCCCTCTTTCTCTTGGCATTACGTCTCTTCTCTTTCTTTCTTCCGAAATTCCTCTCTGTCACTCTCATCTTTGCTTCATATCATCACCGACATCTATCTAAGGGGGGAAACAAAAAAAAAATAATAATCCTCTTTGCTTGTAACCGCACGCACATAGTACGCACTTATTTATTCCACTACCAGTGACAACAGCTATAACAAATAGAAAACAGAATTTAAGATATTCAAAAAGGGAAAAGAGAGAGAGAAAAAAAAATAACGAATTTTGAAGATGAATGGCTTTAAAAAAAAAAGGAAAAAAAAAAGCAAACGTGTCAAAAGACGAGTCTCAAGTTTCTTTGAAAGAACCGGAAAAATGGTGGATGTCATATAATTGATTTTTTTCCTTCCTCTCTCTCTCTCTGTCTTTTCCTATCTATTATATATATATATATATATATATATATATATATATATATATATATATATATATATATATATATATATATATATACAATATATATATATATTCAATATATATATATATATTCAATTTATATATATACAAATATATATATATATATATATATATATTCAATACACACATATATATATACAAAATATATATATATATATTTAATACATATATATATATACAATATATATATATATATATTCAAAACACACACATATATATATATACAATATATATATATATATATACACAATATATACAAAATATATATATATATATATATTACACATATATATATATATAATATATATTCACACATATATATATATATACAATATATATATATATTCAATACATATATATATACATATATATATATATATATACAATATATATATACAATATATATACAAAATATATATATAATATATATACATATATATATATATATATACATATATATATATATATATATATATACAATATATATATATATATATATATATACATACAATACACATACACACATATACAATATATATATATATATATATATATACACACAATACAATCATATATATATATATATATATATATATATATATATATGAATAGATAGATACAATACATTTGAAAAGTTTGAAGCCACCTCCAGATTTAGCATGGGATGAACATGGTAGAAGAGTGAAAAAGAAATGGAAAAGAACTCTCAGAGTAATTAATAAAAAGAATGGAATCAATTATCAGACTTATTCTTTGAGAAACTTTTGCGACGAATGTCAACAATTTGTGCTGCAGTAATCAAGGCTAAAAGAGGATATTTTGACGAGAGCGAAATTTACTCATAAAATGCTTTTTTTCTTTTTTGTTATAATAAAATTTTTAATAAAAAATCATGTCTCACTTGTTAACAATGCATAATAATTTTCTCTTAATTAAACTACAAAACAACGACTTTCTTGGGTGGGAGGGAATTTAAAAAATTACCAGGAGTCATCTCAAACTTTTGAAATGTAGTGTATATGTATATCCAACCATACAAGTTTTGTTAAAAGCTTTCTCTATTGTAGTTTTTGCCAATTTTCAAAAATTGGAAAATATACAATAAAATTAAACAGACAGACTTTGTCGGTTGAATTTTACAAAATTTGTTTGAATGAATACTTGCTACTTTTTTTATATATATATATATATATATATATATATATATATATATATATATATATATATATATATATGTATGTATGTATGTATGTATGTATGTATAATTGTGTAGTTTTTTATTTAATTTTTCATGTAATCTTATTTTTTTTTCTTTTCTGAACGTAAATTATATAAAAATTGTACAAATGTTTTCTATATGCCCGAGAGTTTTCGGTTATGCTTTCAGCCATTTTCAATGATTAATTTTATTTTTAATTTTAACTTAATTCATGGAGTGTTTTATATACGTATCTAGGGTAATAGGAATAAAATATCAACTATGAACACGGCCACAATGTGCTGACCTTGTTTGGAACAGGAAACCCAATCCTAGATAGGAAACAAGGAATAAACCTATACTCCTGTTCAAAAGACCGGGGAGGAGACGCTAGAAGTATAGAGTTGAAGTAGACTTTAGAAGGAAGGAGAAACCCAATCCTAAACAGGGAACAAAGGTTAAACCTGTACTCCTGTTCAAAAGACCGGAGAGTAGACGTTAGAAGTATAGAGTTGAAGTAGACTTTAGAAGGAAACGGAAACCCAATCCTAAACAGGGAACAAGGGATAAACCTCTACTCCTGTTCAAAAGACCGAAGAGGAGACGTTAGAAGTATAGAGTTGAAGTAGACTTTAGAAGGAAACGGAAACCCAATCCTAAACAGGGAACAAGGGATAAACCTAAACTACTCCTGTTCAAAAAGACCAGGAGGAGACGTTAGAAGTATAGAGTTGAAGTAGACTTTAGAAGGAAGGGAACCCAATCCTAAACAGGGAACAAGGATAAACCTCTACTCCTGTTCAAAAGACCGGGAGGAGACGTTAGAGTATAGAGTTGAAGTAGACTTTAGAAGGAACTGAAAACCCAATCTAAACAGGGAACAAGGATAAACCTCTACTCCTGTTCAAAAGACCGAGGAGGAGACGTTAAGTATAGAGTTGAAGTAGACTTTAGAAGGGAAACCCAAATCTAAACAGGAACAAGGGATAAACCTCTACTCCTGTTCAAAAAGAAGGGGGAGGAGACGTTAGAAGTATAGAGTTGAAGTGGAGACTTTAGAAGGAAGCAGGAAACCCAATCCTAAACAGGAAACAAGGGATAAACCTCTACTCCTGTTCAAAATACAGGAGGAGACGTTAAAGTATAGAGTTGGTAGACTTTAGAAGGCCGGAAACCCAATCCTAAACAAGGAACAAAGGGATAAACCTCTACTCCTGTTCAAAAGACCGGGAGAGACGTTAGAGTATATAGAGTTCAAGTAGACTTTAGAAGGAAGGAAACCCAATCCTAAACAGGGAACAAGGGATAAACCCTACTCCTGTTCAAAAGACCGGGAGGACGTTAAGTATAGAGTTGAAGTAGACTTTAGAAGGAAGCGGAACCCAATCCTAAACAG